CTTCAACTGTTATCTAGTGGTTTATAAAGAAGTGACTAAGATTATTATCAAAATGATATACTATATACACTTTGCAATCATAAAAGCCAAAACCAAGACTAAAAACACTTTTGCAATAGATAAATGGGAAGATGATATGTAAAAGGAAAACAAAGACAAGAAAACTCACCTGAGAACCAAAAGAGGACTATAAAGTTGATTTGTTGATATGATATCCTTGCAATTCCTGACCAATTTGAACATCTCGGAAACACAATGGCATCATTCTTAAGTTTACGGGCCAACATAACACCAAGATCAGGAATGGCTTCCATAATCCAAATCTGCAAAGCATATGAGAAACCATACCGAGGATAGCTCAAAGGCTGCGTTAGTTTTACCCTCGCTGCCTTGATCGATGACACAAGATGGTCAAATGAGTCCAGACCCCATGGATAAACCTGTAACTTCCTAATGTCTATCACCAGTTTGATGTAGGAGTGTGGTATAGCAACCTTCTCATCATTCACAACTAACAAACTTGCAATAACACACAAGTACACCAAGCGCACTCTGTCCACACGCGTCCAATTGTGACATTCCAGCAAATATTTCTTCTTTATCAACACTAAGCAAATAGCCGTCCAACTCTTTACCAACCTACTCCAGAAACCGTCATCATCTATACATCCTCAATGTTCAAGTTGTCCGGCTTCACGTAATTGAGCCCAGTGACAGCGTAAAACTCTTGAAGAAAAAACCGAAGAGGCCTCCTAGCAAACACAAACCATAGCTCATGCAATTTCGTAGTATCCAGCTGCTTACACATGAAACTGTGTATCAATTTTCCTGAGTATCCAAGAGAATGCTCATGGATTGCCAAAATATGCCCAAACACCGGATCTTGCTTCACTTCCTCATACTCATTTGGCAGTCGTTCCTTCAATTTCTTCATAAGAGACATTTTGCAGCTGTTGTTGATCTTCACAACTTCAGGCTCTTCATTTTCCCTAAAAAATCTCTTTGGCAAATCCAAAACCATACCTATAAA